ATACCATACCATACCATACCATGCCATATCATACCATCTTACGTGGATCTCCCTACGCAGGTGTTGTTGTACGGTGACATCATAATGGAAGCCGTTATACTTTATTATCACCGACCTAACTGATAAACAGACAATCCTATGTCTATTTCTGGGTGCGACTATAGAACTAGGAACAATGACAGGCGACAGATAACGGTTCGGGGGTGTGTGTCCTGGTTAGACCTCTGTTATCTAGTGAAAATATACAGGTATCGTGTTAGGTTGGAAGATGGATTTGTTGTAGCATGAGCATTTAATATTATGCTACTGATGCGACGAATAAACGCATAATTCAACAATGTTCGACCGTCTTTCGGTTGGGAGTATGCAAATGAGGCAATTTCCAAATGTTTGTCTCGCTTCAACGCTAGTGATATCTTAATACTTCGCAGACAAACAAGGTGCGACAAACAAAACAAAGCAAGACAAACAAAAATGTGCCAGTATGCTTGGGGCTAGATGCAACACACTATAAGAAAGAAAGAAAGAAAGAAAGAAAGAAAGAAAGAAAGAAAGAAAGAAAGAAAGAAAAAAAGAAAGAAAGAAAGAAAGAAAAAAGAAAGAAAGAAGAAAGAAAAAAAGGAAGAAAGAAAGAACAACACTTTAAAAAATCATGCGAGTCAGGATAATATAGATCTAGATCTATTAACACGAAGAAGCTCGCGTGGCATGCGCTTATTATCTTACATCCGACCAGTAACTTACAAAAACAAGAACGAAAAATGTAAATTGGGAAATAAATAAGATCCATGCAAAATGATGATTAGAATAATATACGAACAATTATTGACAGGAGTGCCGTGAAATAGATTCGATGAGTTCAAATAAGCACACGTTGCAACACCATTGAGCAAGACAGTCATGGCGTTCAAGTTGGATAATATGGAGCTAATATTTATTATCAGCTCCATATTCCTTATTATTAGATCTATCTGATAAAGGCCAGGGACCTTGTCACAGGAGTAAACGTTCAGACAGGCCTAAAATTTAGAAATCGAAAATTTACAACCC